TATACGATATATATATATATATATACCAGACTAACATATATCTAGTAAATGCTAGGGCATTCATGAAGGAACAAGATATTTCTAGCAAATAACTGGCGTGACACTAGTCACGTGACCTCGCTGACGCAACAATATATATATATATGCTATGAAAAGAAACTTAAAACTTGAGTTTGCTCTATTTGAAATATAACAGTAATTTGATTCAGGTACTTAAACCTGTAATAGATATACTACCTGTAGGTGGTATATTGGAAAAGGTTACTTCTTTTTAAGTGGATAACAAGTGAGGTTTAATTAGCTGTTCTGATTTATGGTTTCAACAGTAATTACTGATAAAACACTCCTTATACAAAAAAAAAATTAAACTGGTGTTTTGCATTAAACACCAGAAATGGTTATTCAGTTAACTGGACATACAAGCTGAAGATACTTTTATGACAATATTGTCTTGGAATATAACTCTTGAAAGAAAAGGAACACATTTCACCCATTAGTGGTAAATTTGTTTTTATAACCTCATATAAAATATTAGCTGTTTTTGCAAAGTTTTAACATAAACAGAACTATGTTTTGTACTTGTTATTACTTCCATTAGAGAAATTAGTGTGCAAAGAATATATGGTATATTAATATACTCATCACAGTAATAAAAGCAAAAACTCCAAAAAACACCAACTTTAAGGTATCTACATAGAACTAAAAATGAAAATCCTGAAAAATATCGATATCTAAGTAAAACCATAAAACAGCTAAACATTAACACAGATTTAAAAATGAAATAATCACAAAAAATGAGAGGCCCTAATTTTAATGTATAGGAACACTGCTTTTTTAAGTCATTGAAGACATCAGTCAGTCCGGTTTAACTAATGCCAATCTTTTTGCTCAAGCAACAGATTTGTTGTTCTGAAACTTAACGAGTAGAAAATTCTTAATAAACTGAGAAATAAGGATAACAAGTACTTGGCTTAGGTTTATTTGGTGTTTGTCATTGTTTAAATAAAAAACTGACAGTAGGTATTCAATTCTAAATAAGGTTTAACCACAATCATCATAATCATTGAATTATAGTTGTTAAATAACACCCTTGTTTAAATATTGCATCAGGGTGTAGGTTTAGATCTCATTTAGTACATCTCCTCATTTAAAAAAATATCAAACAGAATCCTCCTGGGTAGTTTGTTTTTTGAACCAAAAACAGGTCTGAAATCTATTTACTACAGTGAGATTACCAATAAAACTGTTATCATTACAACTGTCTTCCCTCAAGTTCAGTTTCAAAACTAATTTATTGTATACTTCAAATTTTCTGCAACCATTTTATTCTCAAAATGTCCAAAATTTATTCTTTAAAATTTTCATGGTGTCAAATATAAACATAACACTGTCTTGAGACAACATGGGTCCTATTGGTCCACCTCGGCTGTCCCATCCTCTAAACTAATCTCAAACTATTAATATATAAATTAAAACAATAAATTAATTAATTAAAAAACAATCTTATCATTCATATATTTATTAAGCTTTCTCTTAAACTCACTTAAATTTACTGACTTTCCAAAACTTTTCCCCCAATTGATGTAAGACTAATGGGTTAATAATTACTGGGTCAACGTTTATCATCTCCCTTGAAAAGAGGAATTACATTAGCTAACTTCCAATCCTCTGGTACCTGCCCACTATTCAAGGACTTACAAAAAACAGTAAGAAATGGTTCACATATTCAATCTTTAACCTCCTTCAAAACCATAGGGAAAATATTATCCGGTCCAAGAGCCTTATCATTCTTTAAACTTCCCAAATTTATTTTAATAAGCTCAGAATTAATGCAGTCATCTTAACTGATCTTTCTTCTGTCTATCAACTGTTCAAAATGTGGAATAATGCTTCAATCTTCGTAGGTGAAAACCAAATAAAAAGCAAAATTCAATTACTTAGCCATCTCATAATCATCAGATATGAGCCTTCCTTTATCATCCTTCAAGGGTCCTACCCCCATCCTAACATTTTGTTTACCCTTAATATATTCAAAGGAATCCTTACTGTTAATTTTTACATTTTCAGCCAAATTTTCTCAAATATACTTTATGATGTCCTAACTTACTGTTTCACCAACTTTCTTGATCTTCTATAATTTTCCATCATACCAGTCAATTAAAATTTTTTATGCTTTTCTTTAATTTTATCTCTTATACTTTTTGTGAGCCAATCTGGTTTTTACTTGCAACTACACTTTTCTTTCTCAAAGAACTACGTTTACCTTCAATATTTAAAAATTTATCTTTAAAAATTTTCCACACCTGATCAGTGTCTCCAAATAACCCAGTTACCCAATTCACTTCAAAATTTGCTTTTTTGATATTTTTTACCAAAATATCATTATTCCTGATCTCCATATGCAGCAAAACATTAAATTTAATAAAGCAATGGTCACTTGCACCAAGATGTTCCCCAGTTTCCACCCTTTAAATCATTTCTATATTTGAAGCTAATAATCAATCTAAAATAGCATTTTTTCTAGTAGGTTCCTTGAACAGTTTCCAAAAACCTTTCTCCCTCACAGTCTGATCCTAGCATTTCCCAATCTATATGTCAGAAATTAAAACATCCATAATTATGACTTCATTAACAGCTGGAATCTTAATCTCACTATAAAGTTTCTCACTAATTTCATCAGTATCATCTGGTGATCTGCTATTATCTTTGATATACTCAACTTCAACAAATATAACTCACATTTTACATATAAAGCCACTCTTCCCCCTTTCTTCAGTACTCCATCCCTATTAAATAACCAGTAACCTTGTATTTTAAAGAAATTTCTGTCATTAAACTCATCTACGTTTAACCAGCAGAAGCCAAGGAAACATTAGTTGAAGGTCCAAAGATTCTTGGTCACCATTTAACATAAAATTTAAAGATAACAAAGGACATGCTTGCCACATCTAGGCCATTCTTTTCACTAAACTTAAAAAACAACAAAATACTTGAAAGCTAGCCCTTATCATTTCAATATTTATCAAGCTTTCCCTTAAACTACCTTAAATTTACTGCATCCACTGCATTTGAAGGCAACCCATTCCACAGGCTAACAATTCTTTTAGAAAATAAAACTGCCTTAGCTGAAGTTGATACCTACCCTGCCAAAATTTATATTTGCTTCCCCTAGTCTTACCATTCTCACCAATAGGTAATAAAAGAAAATATTCATCAACACTATCACTTTCATGAACTATCTTAAACCTCTCATTCAGATCCCTTCTAACTCATTTTTCACAATAAATCTATTTCAGAGATCTTAACCTGTTCTCGTATGGCACCTTTCCATCTCACATATCATCCTAGTAGGCCTCCTTTGAAACATTTCTAGCAATTCAATGTTCTTTCTAAGGTAAGGAGCCCAAGACTGAACACAAAATTCCAAATGTGGCCTAACCAATAGCTATACAATGAAATTATAACCTCTTTAGATGTGTATTCAATATTTCTGTGGATATCACTTAAAATTCTTTTTTTCAGTCAAAACTAACAGACATTGTTTGGATGGCTTAAAAGAATGATCACTTAGATCTATTCATGAGGTTAGAAAATCACATAGGTTCATGAAATCAATTGAACACAATGATACTATACCCTATAACCTGAGCTCTTTAGAAGGGTGGACATTTCTTATTCCCATCTAAATGTATATAATGCTGTTACAGTTATTTCTATTGAAATTGTATTCCTAATTCAAATTATGATAATCCACATGCATGACTTTGCATTATTATAATTAAGAGTCATCTGTCATATATTTGTCCAACTCCACAAATAATCCAATTCCTCTTGTAAAACAGTAGCATCCGACACATAGTCAGCAATATGGAAAACCTTAATACCATCAGCAAATTTAAATAATTTATGAATATTCTTTCATCTTTGTCAAAATTAACAGAATAATTGTAGATAACTTGCAAGTTTCACTTATTACTTGAACTCTGAAGTCTAGCAATGAAACTTCCATACATTAAAAGAAATTTTCAAACACTGTTTCCATCATTTTTGATGAAATCATGAATTTCTAAGCTTGAACTGTTGAAAACTTCTAAGATACAACATGACTCACTAGAAGTCATAATTCACATAAACTACTGTAGTTTTTTGCTTTTGGCAAGGGTTCACTTTTATGTACATAAATTTTCTTGAATGAACATTCCATACACACCTGTTACATATGTATTTTATCTTTAAATAAGGAATCAATAAACCTGGTCATTTCTCAGAGTGGTTGCACTTGACTATTGGCATCACTTACAGGGTCTAAAACAAATATCCATCTCTTGTATAAACTTCTTTAAAGATATAAATCATTTCTTTTGTGTTGTAATATTCAATCTCAAGTTCCAATCTCCATTTCTTTGGAAGAAGCAGAAAATTACATTATAAATACTTTTATATAACTGTAACAGTCTGAATTCCAAAATATTAAATACCCAAGCCACTGTGACTCATGTTGTTATAAGCTATAAATATACAATCACCAATAGATAAGAAACTTGTCATATTCTTATAATTAGTATTTTAGCTAATCCGTATACAAATGTTTTTTAAGAGTATGCAATGTGGTTTCATGCAATATTTTGAGAATTACATAATATTCACATAAAATATCCATCAATTCAATATCAGTTAACCTACACAAACTGAGATAGGTTTCAGTAAATTTCTTATCTTATATATCAGGTACACTACAGCAGAACTAAAACAAACTGCTAAAATGAAAAATCTATTACTAAAACACCATTAATGATGTAGAAAAACTAATCCTGATAAGAAAAGCAACACTTGTTTGTCTGGATCACAACTAATGTGTAAATAAACAAACACATTCAACTGTACAGACACTGAGATAATAATAAGCCTACTTGCATTTTTATATGCTTTTGTTCTGTGGTAGCTACTGTTAAAAAAAATTCATACACTGTTTACAGTTTAGTGCAATTTCACTCAAAATTTTCAAAGACTTTGATGTTCAGTTACCAGTAAAATGAATGATAAGAAAAACTTGTGTTTTCTAACACTAGAAAGCCAGGTTATACATGTATAGTACCGTATTATCATAAAGATTCTGTTTTCAAATATGTTTTGCAACAATTCTGTATTTCACAAAACTTTTAAAGTTTTGCACTCCATACATTTACAACTTTAGAGTAACAGGACAAAAATTAAAACCCATAAAACTTAAAAGTTCCACTGAACTAGTATTTTCTCATTTTACTTCTCAGTTTCAACATTCTTTTTAATTATTGAACTATTTAAACAATTACTAAGAAATATCTCTTGGTGATTTTAAATGACTGTACTTAAATAACCCTTCACCAGGTAAGCCGGGTGAATATTTCATTCTATACCATATACGATATGTAATGAACCAAATTCCAATGGCAATCAGGCCTCCTGCTAACTTCTGAACCATGTTATGATAATATAGAATGGTTGTCATCAACATCACATCCCAAATAAGCAACAAGACAGTCATAAAAACAAAAGTAACACGAACATATGGTGTGAACTGTTCGTATGATGTCTTCAGTTTATACATTTGTTCTTCTGATAACTTTTTTAATGGGCTCTCATCTTCAAATTCATTATTTCTCACAATTAGTTCACCAATGCGCTCCCATCCTCTAATACATTTTCCTTCTTCCATTATGATCAAGCAGCAGTAAATCAATAAAAACGCATGTCCAGAAATGTCAAAGCCCACCCACTTAAGTCCATGTTTTCTACAAAGACCTTTTGTTTTGTAATTTTTTCCGTGCTCTGGTGGGTAGCAGTGACCAAACCATTCTTCCATATACTGAAAGAGAGTTGTGCAGAAAAACCAAACCACAGTTCCAACAAGCATTCGGCTCAGGTGTTGACGAACAAGTACTTTATCACTGCAACAGTATGTCCAACTCGTCAAGTATACGAATGTTCCCACTATCGTTAAAGTCCAACCCCAGCCAAGCTTAACAAGATATTCATTTAGTAAATTGTCTTTTCGAGAAAAATATGACTCTGGAAATGGTACAAAATCACATACTAAAGACACAAAAAACAAAATGCTAACATAGATACCGATTTTAATCTCTGGCTGAAACAAGACAATTTTCCGACAAATATGCATAACAAGCATTACCACAAGTTGAATGAAAGTTATCGGGTTTGGAAGAGGCTTCCTTCCAGCAGGATATTTGCTTTGTTGAAAACTTTGCCATTTTAAGCCGGTGGAGATGTTACGACTATCCTTTCGTCCTCCTGCCATCTTATAGTTATACTGTTATAATAAGCCTAATATTAGATTTCTTAGTCTGCCTAGAACTCAGAACACCGAAGCCGTTTCTAAAAACAGGTTTATCACAAAGGGTATTTAGTTACTTACTTCCGTTTACCAATTTAACAAATATTATAAATAAATAAATTATTGAAGCTATCATACTATTAGTTATGATTATAATATTACTTTCAGATTTCGCTGAATATGGAACAAGTGTATTTCGAAACGTTCAAAGTTTCCGTAAATAAAAATATTTTGTATCTTGTCAACTGTTTTTATCATTATTATGAGACTTCGTTTTCTCCACGACAAATATATTCCCAGGTTTATAACCAGATGGTATGGGATCAACACACTACGACTTTTCAGATGGTGTGAAAATATTGATTTAAATATCAAAAACCAAGTAAAAATAAGTCACTGGCCATACGATAACATTCATGGCCATGAAAAGGAAAATAAAACAAAAAGACTACAAGCCTTTATTAAAATAACAGTCAAGGAGGGATGAAGAGGTCAAACTGCACCTGTCCCTCTTAGGTCTACACAAATTCTACATCCCGATGATGACAAACCGAAAGATCAAAAAAGCCGCTTTCAATATCCAGTTTCTTACATATTGTAGACAAAATGAAATTACATCAGATTTCCCCGTTTCAAACTTGTATATCAAAAACTTAAGAACTTATCTGTATACACCACCTCCGGTAACATCTGTCTAACCAAGAGCGTCAACACCAGGATCTCCGAAAGTCCGTTTCTATGCTGATTTTGTCCTTCTAATGTGCTTAATACATGAATAACCAAAAAAATAACAACTAAACAAGAACAAATCCAAAATAGAAAACTTCAAAAACTGCGTCTTTATTCATTTCTACTTCAGGTTTTAATTCTGATGATGTAATCTTATTTCTGAGTAATATTCAACTTCATGTTTGTAAACAAGCTCTAATCAAAGGACTCGATTTTAGCATTCCAACTTTCAAACTCAACTATGGTAATTATATTTATGATTTCGAAAAACTTAAAGAATTCTTAATTCCTTTCCGTTGTTCATTAACCCCGAAAATAATACAGCGCACGATTTTACAAAAACTAAAACATAAAACATTGTTACGACAGAGGAAGTCACGCGACGCTGGAAGCATGCGTGCTGGAGCTTCTCGAAGGATCATGAATTATCGAGGAACCCCGTGAATGTCCGAGTGTTTACTAGACACCCTCTTTTTAGTATATATAAGCCTGGCGAGAAAAACCAGCGAGATTGCAGAGAGAGATAGATAATTGAGTGAAGCGAACAGTAGACACTGTAAGTAAAGTGTGTGAATCACTGTGATTTATAGGGTGTATTATAAAAGTTGTTAAGTTTACAGTGACTGTGGAAATTCTGTGTATTTCTAAAAGTTGTATCGAAAAGAATAAACTGGTTTAATCAAGAAAGGACTTGTATCGCTGAAGTTCCTCGGAAATAATTTCTACCATAAATTAACAAACAAGCAGATATGCAACAGCATTATTCTTTCTTCCTTCTACAGATGCAACTCATACCATCCTAAATCTCCATTAATTAAGCGTTGTTGGATTACTTGCTCTTAAAAATCTATCCAAGAACAAATCTCTTGCTTTTAAGAGAGAAGATAAGTCCTACTTTTTCTCAAGACCCTTAAAAATCAATATTTTATCTCTGAAATTGATTTTCCACCAAAATGTCTCATGATGCACAAAACCTAATATTCTTTATGGCCTACCAAAACTACCCAAAATACACAAAACTGGATACCCTCTCCATTCTATTCTTTCAGTTGTAGGCTCCCGCAATTGTAACCTCTCTAAGTTTATTGTTCCTATTCTTAAACCTCTTACTTTAAATGAATTTACTATTAACTGATTATTCCTCTTTTGTTTCTGAAATCTCTAATATTATTCTGCTGATCAATATGTAATGACTAATTTTGATATTAAATCTCTCCACACTAATATTCCTCTTGATGAAACTTTAAGTTCAATCATGGACCTTCTCTTTATTTTCTAACATTGAGAAATATCTTGGTTTTACCTGAAAATAATTCTGGGAACTTCTTGCTCTCTCTACTAGGTTAATCCATTTCCTCTTTAGTGTCTAAGCTATTAGAGAACTACCCACCTGAATTCAAATATGTCCTATACAAATGCTATATTGAAAACACTCTCTTGCTCTTTCGATAGTCTTGTCATGTTTCTAAATTTCTTACTTACCTGAACACCCAACAATTTGGTATCAAATTCACACCCAAACTGGAAGAAAATGGATCTTTACCTTTCTTAGACATCAGGACTACCAAAGAAGGTAAAAAACGTTCTACCCCTGTTTACTGTAAAAAAAAAACACCTTTAACACGCTTTTACACAAATTTTTAATAGCTTTATCCACGACCTCTTCAAACCTTGTCATGTCATTATTAAACACGTTGTTTTCATTTATGCTCAAATTATCCTTGTTACGTATTAGAATTTCGAATAGTCTGAAGGCGAGTTAACTGATAATTTAAATTTAGTAGTTAAATTGT